GGCGGCGGCGTCGAAGGCCATTTGAAAACTGTCGCTTTTAACTACCGAAATGTGGCAGGAAACTTCCCTTGACATTCAAAAAGCAAGGAGAAGGATTCTTCATCGGTACTGCTAGCTCGGAAGTCCCGGATATTGAACGAGGAGACCTGGAACAGGCTTTGAAAAAAGCTCCCTTGTTTCTTGCGATTATTTTTTCCTATTTTTGCGTGTTTTTAGCAGAACAATGGAATCATGACGTCACCGCTTCTTCCAAAACTGGCATACTCCCGAACTGTTGACGTTGTCGTCGTTGCTTACTCCTACCTGAAGTTAAGTCATCAAGAAGGAGAAAAACGTTGTTATCATGCGCTGAAATGAAAATGCTAAAAATGAGTATTTACAATGAAATTACACCCTCAACAAAATACAACGGAAAGTAGACAACTACAATACTCTGATACTTAAATTGTTGTCTATTCACTTCAGAGTTTATAACAGTTTCTATTATCAGAAATATACTCTAAAAAGTTCAATTTTCCAATTTTGTTCCTAAAACTGGCTAAGCTAAAAGCCTCTCGTGGATCTTTGTTTAGTTAAGACCATAAGAAGGGACCTATATATCTGATCGAACGATACTTGACTTTATACATCAGTACTACGATGTCTTGAAGTCTATATTATACAACGTGGGAAGGTTAGCCCTCTCTAAGAGTTCTTCATACGTATCCGAGTGGGATCTATATATGGTTGTCAATGCCCGTTCTTGTATTCGTTCCACCTTCCTTTTGTCTGAAGATCGACTTACGAAAATGCCATATTAGGTGGCAATATGTAAGGTGGGGCAAAATAAAAGCTTTATACAGCAACAGCTTAACCTTAGATGGTATTAAATTTCTTAAACGAGATAGCATCCCGACTTTTCGGCTAGTCTTGATGCATAGCTCATTAAAAATGCTTCTTGAAAACAAGGTCATCGTCGATGTGGACTCTAGTAGTTTAATGTCCTCTGATTTGTCAGTGGGTAGGCCATCCAGGCTTAGCACTGCATCACTCGTATTTCCATCAATTTTTCTCGGGTTGATATTTAGGAATTGAAACTTCTCTAGCCGGCTTGGCTGATAAAAAGTTATTTGAATACCATTTCAGAGCTTGCTTGCTACTTGTTTTCAGTTGCTGTCTAACTATTTTGTGATTTGTTCCCCATCACACGCAATTGATGGTCATCCGCATACATGGTTATGTTTCCATTTTTGACATGCAACGGTAAATCATTCTGGAACATGTTCCAGAGTAAGGGCCGAAATTGCGGACATCCACGTTTCATAGGTTTCCATTCGCTTGTAAGTTAACCCAGTTTTACCCTGTTTCGGCTGTTTTCGAAAAACGATCGCATCAAATCGAGAGATCCACTTCCAAAGCCATAAGCCTCCAACTTCTTTTTGTCTGAGAGTGACTCAAACAGTCGAAGGCCTTACGCATATCAGTAGATAGAACATAAACGGGTTGTTTTGAGTCGACAGCCTGTTTCCGGTCCTCTATCAGTCCACGCAAAGGCTGTGATTTTCGAGTACAGGAAGACAAAACATACAAGGTAAAGAAGTCTAGTACATTTAATGATTAAGGCTGGTACAGATTGAAAAGTTTAAAGCATTTTTCCATGTTATCAAAAGAATGGCTGGTTGGCAAACTGCTATCCCTTGTTTTTAATTTTCGGTATTCAACGCAACGTTAATAACCCCTTCATTAATTTGTCCAGGCAAAACTCCGGTTGCCGTTACATTACTAAAGGAGAAACCCATCACCTGCGACCTGACGCTTTCGATGTTGTTTTGCTAGGAATGGAAAAAGAGACTCTGGGTCCGAACATGCATCGCAACAAACCAAACGAAGTTACTAAAGTTGTAGTACAAGATACAACTGTCACGTACTAGCTCTCAAAAGCAAACAGCACAGGGTAATATGCCAGCGATGACAACAGTAGAATGTAAATAGAGAATCCTATGTATTTTGTCTCGTTAAAGTTTTCGGGAATTCCTCTTGCTTTGAAAGCGTAATACGTACACAGGAAAGACACAATGAGCGTGTAAGCACAGACTGCCATGAACAGTGCAAGGCCGACGTTGGCGTCAAATGGTTTGCACACAAGAAAGATGTACTCATCTACGCGGATGACTTTATTACGCCTCGGGGGATCAAGAAAGATCCACAGGGCCAATAAACAAAAGACAGCTAAATTCATAACGGAGATAAAGATGCCTTGACTTGTTAGGGTTTTGTGACACGGTGCAAACAACTGCGCCAATTTATCGACCTTAAAAACGCTTGCTATTCGCATAGTTTTCAAAAAGAGCACCGTGATACAAAGATTGAGACCGAAATAGCGCCAGAAAAATGTTGCGGTGCAAAGTGAATGGCTGGGCTCAGAAAGTTCGAGAAAGGCCAATATAAAGAGGGCTGAGATACCAAATAGCAACAGAAAAGAGATCTCTCTGTTAGAAGCCTTCACGATTGGGGTGTTAAAAAACTTGATATAGGTGCCTCCAACTAACAATGATGGAAGCCAACACTGTTATGGTAATTCCAGAGACACTGAAATGCGTGATGTTGATGATTGGTAACTTTTCACACCTATTACGCCTTTCGTTTGACTTTTTCTCTGGGTCACACTTAGTGCAGCTAATGGATCCGGCTTTGGTACTGACAGTTCCCAGTGGGCATTTAATACACTCCCAGCAACATGGCGAGGTGATTTCCCTCCTGGTGCCAGGTAAACATTCTAATGAACAAGAAGATAACGGGGTGAAGGGAGTTCTCCATCGGAGCCTGGACAAATCTACTTTGAGTTTGGGCGTGTTTTTTTGGTTCCAAGCTCCAACAAGAATATTTTTGCGGCCTCCGTCTGTGGTTGAGTCAAGCTGGAAGTTTATTAAGTTTTATGTCGTAGAAAGCTGTTATAGGATCACCAGACTTGTCAAATCGCACCTTGCCAGTGCTGTCGTGAAAACTAATATTGCTGAGATATTTCTTTAGATCATGTCCCTTTACAGTTGGCTTTACTAGAGGACAATTACCTCTTTTATCAGTACCATGTATAGTATGAGAACAGCGGTAAATGTTATCAAGGGCATGTGCAATAGTATAAGTAGCGTCAATGACATACGATACGAAGGAACTGCGTATCACATGTAGCGCATGGTGTAACGTCAGATTTGCTTCGCAAAGTGCGACCTCAGAATCATCGGCGTTTGTGGCTGAACAGTTAAATTGTAATCTCCAGAATTCTTCCCACCAGTCTGCGCCTCTTTCAATGCTTTTGGCAGGGGTGATCGTCTTAAGGTGGTCCTCAAATTCGGGAACGGGATAGTCACGTGGCTTTATTCCCAAGGAACCGTTTAGTATTGTGAAGTGAGAGTCAAGATGATCTTTTTCATCTGCGGTTAGTGCGTCACTAAGTATCCAAGTCTTTCCTTCTAAATTTTGAGCGGTTGCTTCTGCAAAAAATGCTCTTCCGTAACCGGTAGAAAGCCAAACAATGATCACTGCGATTTCAGACCTCCTTTTAATCTTGAGAACAGTTTGCTTTGTTTTATCCCAATGGCCTAGCCGTGGAATATACTCAGAGAAAGCAATGCAAAATGTTTTCCGGTTGTAGGATTCTTTTTCCCGCGCTGAAATCTCGTTATGTCCATAAGAATCATCCAACCCAACAGCCGCCACGTAAGTCCAGTTAAAAAGCTCTATGATGTCTGCCATGACCTCTGCTTGCCACTTGTCTGGTGGAACTGTTCTGAAAAAGTCTTTGTACATCTGTGAACTCAACTCATCGCTTGTTGCACTCGGGCTGATGGCGGGAATGTCAGAAACCTGAAGAAGACTTCCTATTAGCACTGCGCTGCCGGAATCGAAAGGGCCAAGTAACGCTGGGATGGTCTTTTTTAGTTTGGTTTCCTTGACATAGCCTGTGGGGCAGGTGCTCAAGTTTTGGTTAGACATATGTACTGGATCGCCATTACTCATGAAGTCATAGGCCATCTTCATGGCCCGAGCATTTCTCCCACAGTAGTCTCTTAAATCGTAGCCGATGGTTACATTTGGTAAAATACTGGAATTCTTGTTAATTTTCTCAATAGTGAACATAGTAGCCTCTGCGTATCCCAGCCCAGTGGTAGAAAGCTCAGTACAGTGATCACCAGTGTTAGAATAGTGGATGGGAAAAAGACCACCAACTATAACGTCGCCATCTTTATAATTTCTATATGCGTCGTTTGAGGATGTTAGTGGAAGAAATAGCAGTATAAAGAGAGGCGGTTTTAAGATGCATGAAACCATTATCTTTTTTCTCCACTTCATCCGCCTTCTGTGGTGAAGTTACAGTCCTTTTAAGAGCAATTCCGTTGGTGCTTTGAACACCGTACTTTCCTACAAAAAATGTTCTCCATGACAAAAACTCGGACGTTTCTTACGTGGGTTTTCAGTTTGGGTTTCTCAGCAGTAGGTTTTCTTGGCCTTTTAAAGACTTAAAAGACTCAAGGCCAAAAATCGCTCTTCCTGTATAAGTCTGATTCTTACTGGCAAAGCAATGCATTTCTATGGTTTGATTTCCAAACTCATGATTTTACTTATCACGGAATAAGTGTATCGTAGCAATGTTCAGCTGCTTTAAGAAAAGCGAAAAATTTTTTACTACGCGAGGTTTATTTACTAGCGCGATGTCTCATGTTAAACTGACCGCACGCTTTTATATACGGCACAAAAACATGAGATTTATGGGGTTTTTTTACAGCAGTTTCGAACGTTTTCGCGAAAAAATATAATAAAAAATATTGTACAGGAAATGAAGAATGGATTGAGTTTGAGACAGCAACAATTACAAGTGATTATGTACTACATAATCACTTCAGCATTTCATAAGCTCATGCACTTGCAGACAAAAGAAATGCACCCCGAAAATACGAAAAATACTTTTATTTTTCTTTAACTCTAAAAGATACAGAGATTTTTCCTAAGGTACTATTTTGAAGCAACTCTTGAGTAACAGCTCCTGTGTTCCACAATCGATTTCTTATTCATTAATTTATATTTGATGACAGTAGTGATCCATTCAAAACAGAGAATGGCCATCACTCCATAAATCTAACTGACGATGTTTGTTTACCTTTAAAGCCAGTTAAAACATAAGACAGGAAGACAGGAAGTTTCTTACAGGGTGCATATAATGCTGTTTCCTTAAAAAAGAAATACTACTGAATTGGGATGCGACATCAAACATGACACAAATGGATGGGTGAATTTGATTGTTAAGTTATTAACGTTTCTATTGAGAGCCTTTTACAGTATCCAGATGAACCTACATAGGACCCTGTGGGAAGAATTATCAAGCAGATACTGATGCATTAAACAATAGTTTGGTTACAGAGGAGAAGCTGGTCTCAGTAAACATCCTTTGTGAAGGAAATGTTTCACAAATTAGCATACTGGTATCATTTAGGAATACATGCAATTTTTTTACACCAGAAGCCAGGATTTATTTAGGGCCTATTTACATAGAGCTGGGGGACCCCAGATAGGTGAGGTAATCCGCTTAGGAGGGGTAAAAAATTAACCCTCCTTTACGTGCAATCTCACAACCCCGCCATCCCAGAATGCACTTTCTCAAGATTATTGAATGGTCGCTAAGCACGTAAACAATAAAAATGCTGGCAAACCACGTGTTTTGGGGATTAATCCTCTTTTACACTCACTTGCTGCTCTTGCTGCAACCTTCAGTGCTGTGGCTTTCTATTTGTTACCTTTAATAACGATGCAAAGCCACTGCCAAAGTGAATTTGATGTATGACGAATCCGACCTCGGCAAGGCGGGTTACCCCACCCTGAAACAGTTACATGGCAAAATTTTACCCTGGCTGACCCGCCTTTGCTGGTCACCCCACCTATCATGTAAACGTGATCAAATTAAAATAAAAGATTATTTGGACGGGCGAATTACCCCACCTAAGCGGGTTACCTCAAGTACCATCCCCATGTAAACAGGCTCTAAAAAGGTGTTTTAATAACGTTCCATTTCGTGCTATTTTGGGGTTGGAGAGTTAAGCTAGATTTTCTTATAAGCGTTGAAATGTTATATTTATTTGCATAATGAAATTCAAGCAAACAGTGTACCAACAAAATAAGGTGGAAATAATATCAGAATTCAAACTGATTGCCTCAGGCAAGTTAAGGCATGGCCGGTGGAAAGGCTAAAAAGACCCCCCACAGAGAATGCAAAGATCCTTTTAAATGACGCAGAAGGATATAGATATGATAAGACATATCTCACTAAAATATTTTTGGAAAATTCATCCCAAGCATCACGTGACATTCCTTGGACCATGACGTCACAAAACCTGTTTTCTCAAACGGGGTAAGGTTGTTTAACTTCAGCCTAAAAATACTTGTCATCAAATTGTCAGCGAAACTGTCTGGATTGTCAATTAGCCTTTCCATGTGGATTAAAGTATTTTCATAAAGAGTTATTAAGAAACGGTCCAGATAAGAACGATAGCAACAACGGTAACGAACATGTTGGAATGCAAAAAAGGTGCTACCTTTTCTATTGTCTGTTCTTACTTCTGATTGGCTTAAACAGCAAACGTTAACAAAACTTCATAAAGCAGTACGTATATTCATCCTTACTTTCCAACCATCTTCCATATAACAAAATCTGGTCTCAGCCTGAATAACAAAGAAATCCTATGTGGGGAACATGTAAAATTGTAAACTTTTCTTGGCTATTGTTTTCAACTCTTGTGATTGGTCAAAATCTTTTAACACAAAAAAACACCCTTTCAAAGTGGAGTGTAAATGCATTTTATTGCGTAAACGGCCTTCAGGTAGGTTTATACATTCTCTGTGTAAAAATGAGAACATTCCTATGTGGGAAAAGCACCGTTGCCGCATAACAAAAGAAATTGCTATCCACCTTACCGGGATTATTACTTAACGTCTTTTATAAGTCCCGTGACCTGTTTTTCTTTATTTCGTAATCCTTGCTTCACTTAGACATACATGCAGGGCTATTTCATATTATTAAAAACTGAATCATTGGATAAAGCAATTCTAGCATTTTGATTGGCTTAGCCGTTATGGTATATGAGCTATTATACCATGCTCTCCATATATGGTCGGTGTACGCGTCAGTTTAAAATTGGAAGCTAGCTGAGATTTTTTTTCGCGAAGGATAGAATGGAGTCCGAAGCAAATCGTTTTAATTCATTTCTTAGAATACTAGAAATGCAATTTCATCGAAAGAAAAAAGACAAAAACAAACAAAAAAGCCTCAAGAGCTTGTTTGAAAGTTTGTCGAAAAACACATGAAAACACATAGAACTAAAGTACCTTGACCAGCTACGAAAGAAGACAAGTGTTGTTTCTTCATGATCGCGAAGCCATTCGCCGATCGAGTCACTCGCCGATAGATAACTGCGGCTTGTCTATCCGACATCAAGAATATAAATCACAAGTAACCAGCTACAAATACAGGCTATGCAGCCATTCAATAGAGCAGTATAGCTTCTTTTCTCGTTCAGCAAAACTAGCTTGTGGCTTCAAACAACTTCATAACAAGCGACCGAGGTAATAGTTTTTCTCTGTTGTTCTTACTTCTATAACTGCACCGAAAATCCAAATTCACAGTAATTTCCACGGCTGTCACTTAAAAATTCTTTTCCTTCACATTATCTGCCAGGTTTTTTTAGCTGTTCTGCTGTGTAAAATTCATCGCTACAATGTTTTGATTTTTCATTCATGCAGTCCAGGCGAGTCCGTTCGCGCGTTGACAGTTTTGATAGACGTGTGACATGTGAATAACGGAAGTCCCTTGTCTTTTCCGGTTTGTTCTAGTAGGGGAGATTCAACGAGTTTTTGTGGGCGTTTTTAATAAAACAATTATTCCACTCGCGCTTGTTGGATATGAGATGATTATAGCCAACTCGGCGCTACGCGCCTCGTTGGCTATCTATCATCTCATATCCAACGCACCCTCGTGGAATAATTGTTAAATATCCAGGCCACGGGAAAAACACTCTTGCCAAAGAATATTTGCTCCTCTTTCATTTCCTTTACAGCCGTTTTTATTTGAACTCTTTGAACGCTAACGATCATTTGCAGGTCACGTGACTAATATTTCAACAATGAATTTGTCGCATATTGTTAGGGCCACCGAGCTGAAACTGTTTGCCAGGTTTCATGACGACTGATCAAAACAATCCGTTTCAAATGCCACTTCGCCAAATTATGCAAATTATGAAGTGACACACGCCTTAACATGCCTGAGGCTGTAATTTTTTCCTTTGTATTACTAAATGATAATATATTTTTTTTATTTTCAAAACAAATTCTTACTGGCATGATTATAGTGAATTTAATTCATTTGAAGTGCGTGTATTTTTCTTAACGAAGTTGACTGGTGAAGAAATCTCAAATTACTGCAAAAGGCGTTTTTCACTGCCTTCATCACAACACCATTCATTCGCGGAAGTATTCTTAGTTTTATTAATTATTAACTTAATGTGGGGAGAAAGGCAAGATTTCGAAAAAGCAAGTCAGCGAAAGGGTGAAAATGCAGTTTCACGGCAAAATGGACACTTAATTAACCACTATATTCCTGAAACGATTAAGCTCGATTTTAAAGTTGTATTGTTAAGAAGATTTAAATATCTATAGGATAATTGTTCCACGAAAAATTATCACACTGCCCTTTTCCTGCTGCTCAAAAATGTGCACGCAATGTCAGGTCGTAACAACATTCAGCCGCCACCTTGTCTTCTGTATGTACTGTTTTACGAAAAGAAAGACTGTCCTTTCAAGGGCGACAGCGAGGCTACAATAAACTCACTTTCATCGTAGAAATGCCTCTATACCTTAAAGAACACGTTTGTGCAACGACAGCACCCAATATACGTCATTCAGCTCTAGGAAACTGCCTACAAGTGCTGACAGTGAACGTAAACAATTCAAAAATGCCTCTGTGGCTCTTCAACAAGACCTTATTGACGCATGCGCATACAAAATACCCTCCTATTCTCTAAGTTACGGAAAGGGTATCTGCGATTTATAGGGGTCTTTATAGTTTTGGCTGCCATGTGCAAATGAGTTACTCACCTTCTTTGTGTTGCCTGCGTCGCAAGACGCTCTTAAACCTTCTGTATAGAGCGTCTGCGAATTAATGCACAATATCGTGTTCGAATCCCGCAGAGTCGCAAGGACATATGTCGGCGTTTTTGACTGGCTAGTTTCTTACGCAGTTTGTTATTAGTCCCGTTTGAATTAAGTGTTGACAGGTAGAACACGACTAATATGTCGTGACAAGAGAGACTGAGCTCGTGATAGTGTGAAACCTGACCTTAGAGTCAGCTAGAACAACAGAGGTTTTTCTCGCCCTCTTTTTGCGTAGTTTATGCAATGCATGGAGTATTCTAAACTTTGACTGAGCAATTTTTTTTTGCAGCTTTGAGTCTCACATTTAGAGGTTAGGAAGATGGTCTGTTCCATGCATATTGAGTAATTAGTTCCTGTGGTTTATGTTTCTGCAGATGTTTTCCGACAGGATTTGATCACAGACGTAGTTTACCATTAAATGATTTTCCTTTAACTCTGTTTAATGTTCTTAACGCATAACCCCTTAGCTCTTAACCCATAACCCCTTAGATAAAAGCAAGTAACTAGACCAGAATTATTATGGGGAAAAAGGGGTAAGTACTCCAAATATGGACAGCAGATCACTTTTCTCTACATATTGGTGTAACAGTCCGAAATCTACAAGGGGAGAGGTGATAATCCTCTCTAGGGAGTGATAATCCCCCAGGATAATGAGAGGTGATAATTCTCTCTTGGGGGTGATAATCCCCCAGGATAGTGAAAAGCTAGGTGATAATCCTCTCTAGGGGTTGATAATCCCCCAAGGTTGTGAGTGGAAGTGATAATCTACCTTGGGTACTGGACAGGTGGAAAGACCTCTCGAGATGTCTAATTCCCCGGTTTAAGGAGTAACAAGAGTCTATGGGGCAAAGTGTGACCTGTATGGGAGCACTTCATCCCGAACCCATGTTTATTAATTGCCAACAACTCTCAATACAGATATCATCACTAATTTAAGCTAGAATTGCGTGCCTGCTGCCCGTCAGGAAAAACCCTCAATTATTTTTGAGGGAAACCTGAACCCTCCCGAAAGCAGAGCCAGACACTTAACATGAACCTCGAGGAAGAGAGGTTAGATGAAAATTTATTAATACAAGTTGTAAGTAAATGACAATTAAACTTTTATCAACTTAATAATCAAAATAAGGCCCAAAGTAACTAAGTGCACAAGCATGTTAGGATGCCTGGTAGAATGATTCCCCTCAGTAGAAACCCCATCTCTTTTCTGCCATATCTTCTTGACAATTGCCAATTGAGTCGAAGTGTAAACAGCAAAGATCAGTAGTTCTTATGACTGCAAAAAGTATAAGCAGCTTCTTAAATTTTTAAGCAAGAGAAAAGACCTCATACACACCTATTTCAATTAAGGTTGCTCCCGTGAACCATGTTTCATAGCCTGCAGTGCATTATGGTAAACCCTTTTGTAGCGGGAAGTTTAGTCTTGTTCACGTTCATTGAAATAATGGAGACCATTTGTTAAAAGACATTCAAGAGAGCTTTCAAGTCAAATGGCTGCTAAAATTCTTTAAAAGAACGTAAATATTTCAGTCTAATTTTAACTATATTAGTGATTCAAAAAACGTTTTTAAGAACGATTATATGTCAGTTTAAGGCTCAAATTTTCACTATATCACTAAACAAGACATCCACCTTATAATTATTTATTTTCACAAAAGAAACAATTTTAGTTTCTCATTTTTTCAAAAGAGGGTTTTCTTTTTACTTGTCATTATTCTTTTGAACGAAATGTTATACATTAAACTTATTCAACCTATTCCTTTGATTGTCTTTATCCTTATTTTTATAACCCTGGGTTTTTCCCTTTGGTTTCTCAACGTCCGCATCGATACTTGTTGTTTGGTATGAACTTGTATCCTTCCTTGCAATTACAATCGTATGATGGAATAAGGTTTCTGCAGGTGGTACTTAAAGTATCACACAGGGCCCAACCATCCGTGCACTCATCAATATCTAAAAATTAAAAGAACGTGGTGGCCTCAGAGAAGTTCTGTGTTAATCTGCCACGTGTATTCCAAAAGCTCACGATGTAAATCTTGGTGAAACGATTTTTAATAACCTGTAATAAGTGTATCTTAACTGCTAATACAAATCGACCTAGGTTTGCACTAGAATAAAAGTTGGAAGCCAGGTACATGTAGGTGACAAAACCACAGAAACATAAATATACAAAAATAGGGAAACATCTAGTGCTTCACGGTGCACTCGTAAATAATTAGAACACAAGAATCACGCCAAACATTAACACAAGGATTGGATTTGCACTATGGTGTAATTTTTACGTACGTATGCACGTAAATTTTACGCGCCTAAAAATAGAAGCAGGCAATGTAAGGAAGTAGTCTTTAAAATGTGCCTGGGCGATTAAGACGATCCCATGGGAACACTGATGCGATTGTGGGCGATACGGAATATCGAGGCGATCGCGAAAGTCCTTGATAGACGGGGAGCTAGATTATTCATTTTGGCTAGTTTGTATGAAAACCATGATTTAGAACTATCATAATTTTACCTTCGCAAGTTAAGCCATCACGTTTTAACCGGTATCCACTGTTACAGGAACACTTATAGCTTCCATCAGTGTTTGTACACGTGTGCTGACATCCACTGTTAGCTAACGCGCATTCATCCTTATCTTTTGAAATAAAATTAAAATGATTTTTAGTTATTTTCAACAAAGCACTATTAGATAAAGGTACAGACATGTTTATACAGCTGTTTTATTTGAGTCATGTGTTAAATAAACGAGTGAGGCACTAAGTAGAATTTCCCATCAGTTATCTTAAATTTTGTAACCTCAACGGAGTCTTCAGTGTAGAACGTTTCATGAGACCAATCAACCTCAACCTCGAGAATGAGATTAAACTTCAATTTCTTTAGCGTATTCTCAAAAGATATACACCCCGGAAAGCTTTATTTTACTTTCTTTTGACAGTTTTTCTTCTTTTTTTTTCACCAGAAGAGTTTGCATGGTTATTTTCATTGAAAAACTGGCTAAGCCCTCTCCAGGTCGATGGCAAAATGATAAAACTTCTTATCGTTGATAACTTACTTCCGCCACTGCGCATTCTCGCTGAAACTGAAAATGGAATGACGACGGCTACCACTTTTTCGAGTCAAAATGACGCTGGTTCAAGCGCGCGCACAACTTCGTATTAAGAAATTTCGTTCTCGTTCCCGTTTTGGAAACTAAAGAGAGAGCTTTCATTGAAAAAGCTCTACTGCTATTCCTCACTAGTCAATCAACTGTACTGTAACATTTTTGGACGGCTGCGTCTTGAACAGTACCACAAAACTACGACTATTTTAAAACAGTCCAATGGCGTGTCGTTTTCTGAATCGTCCTGTGAATCACTGGATTGCAGCTGTGAGTCGGTTGCGTCACTTTGTCCGATTTCTGGTGAGTCATGACCAGCATGAACATAACACATAACGCAAGCTACTAAATGCCTCTTTTCCTTCATAAACGTTTGAATATTGCTGCTTCAGTTATATTCTTTTCCGTCAGCGAGTTGACTTGGCTTGGTTGACTTATTTGTATAAAAGTTATGTGTTCAACACCGAAGACAGTATTTGCTGATGAAGACTGTGTGAAACAATCGAAAAAATGAATGCCTTTTGCCTTTTATGTGATTTAAAAATCACAAGAGACCTTGAGATAAGAGTTATTACAAGATTGTCACACTGAATCGCAATTTAAGGAAGTAGTCTTCAAAACTTGCCCTGGCGATTAAGACGATCATATGGGAACATTGACGTGATTGTGGACGATACGGAATGTTGAGGCGCTCGCGAAAGCCCTTGATAAACAGGGAGATAGATTATTAATGTTAGGGGATTTCAAAATTATTGTCGGAATATCGATCGTCTTGATCCCTCCAATCATACCTTCAAAAGTCGAGGCAATCGAGAAGATACCCTGGCTAGTTTGTATGAAGACCATGACTTGAAACTATCATAATTTTACCTTGGCAAGTTAAGCCATCAGGTTTTAACAGGAATCCACTGTTACAGTAACACTTATAGCTTCCATCAGTGTTTGTACACATGTGCTGACATCCACTGTTAGCTAGCATGCATTCATCTTTATCTTTTGAAATATAATTAAAGTGATTTTTAGTTATTTTCAACAAAGCACTATTAGATAAAGGTACACACATATATATACAGCTGTTTTATTTGAGTCATTTGTGTTTAATAAACGAGTGAGGCCTAGGCCAACAGAAGAAGTAGCATTAACTAAGTAGAATTTCCCATTAGTTACCTTAAATTTTCTAACCACAACGGAGTCGTCAGTGTAGAAGATTTCATGAGACGAACCAAACTCTATTTTGGGTCGACCAAAATTGTATTAAGATTGTCTGTTGGGTCAGACATCGAACATAGCACGCGTCGAACCAATCAACTGAATCAGACCAAAATGCAAATTTATGATCAGCACTAAATGTTTTTCACGAGCGAGGCTAAATATACATTATCATACTAATTTTTAATTTATTAGATTAGTTTGCGCATGTGAAGATCGATCTATATCCCGGACGTTTTATAGACGTTCTATTCGTCTGAAAAAGACGGATAAGACGTGTTGGACGATCCAAACTCATTCAGAGGAACTTTACTTAACCAGACGTCTAACGTTTCATAACTTAACTCCCCAAGTTTGGCTCGTCTCATGAAAAGTTCGACGCTTGGCCTAGAATATTATATTCCAGAATATCGGACTTTAACAGCTTTGTCCTAATCAAACTTTCATGTATACGTAGTTATCATTATCGAAAAATATTATCTATTTTTGTAAGGGTTATACACAACTTCTAAAGTTATTTTCGACATTTGATCTTGCTAAGTTTCAAGAATTTCTTGTTAGGCCTAAAAACACTCATAGAAAATTTAACTAGTTGAAAGGCTCCTTCACCTTTGGCCACTGGGTGATGATATTATTCGCCCTGCAAAAGCTGCGGGGTTGCCAGATGAATCCCAACTTTTGTTCAATCAACCCCGCGATGGTTGTCCCGCACAATCTCACTCCAGTGTACATTAAGGGTGCGACGAAGCAAAAATGTGAAATACAAAGAAATCTTACCAACACAGTTCTTTCTCCTTGAATCAAGTTCATAGCCAGTCGGACAAGAGCAGATGTAAGTGCCATCCAGGTTAATGCATTTGTGGCTACACCCACCGTTATTAATCATAAGTACAAGCAAAATACATTGAACATTAGACAGTTACTAGGGATCTTTAGGTTCGAGTGAGACGACCTCGAGGATGAAATTAAACTTCTATCAATTTCTTTAGCGTGTTCTCAAAAAAATATACACCCCGGAAAAAAGCTTCATTTTACTTTCTTTTGTTTTTGTTTTCGTTTTAGTTTTTTTTCACCAGAAGAGTTTGCATGGTTATTTTCATTGAAAAACTGGCTAAACCCCCTCCTGGTCGATCGCAAAATGATAAAACTTCTCACCGTTGATAACATATTTCCGCCACTGCTACATTCTCGCTGAAACTGAAAATGGAATGACGACGGCTACCACTTTTTCGAGCCAAAATGACGCTGGTTCAAGCGCGCGCACAATTTCGTATTGGGAAATCTCGTTCTCGTTTTGGAAACTAAAGGTCTGTCTTTACGCACTAAAGAGACAGCTTTAATTAAAAAAGCTCGACTGCTTTTCCTCTCCCACTAGTCAATCAAGCGCCGCGACTGACAAGTAACGAGGAAGAATTGTAAGGAACATAAAAACTAGCGACCGATTTCCGAAAGGTGTTCTTTCCTAACAATGACCGGTAGGTCAAGTGAAGAAAACTGAAAAATGAGTCTTACGTAAAGTAACATCACGTGGCGTCCTCCCGCCTGCCAACAAAGGAAAGTTAGCTCTAACCCCGCCTTTCTAGTCACTTAAAAAATATGACCAGTTTCCCCCTCTACTAAGATTTCAACGAATTCCCTCCGATTGCACCTAACGCTTTTCGACGGCTGCGTCTGGAAAAGTACCACAAAACTACGACTATATATTAATTTTAGAACAGTCCAATTGCATGTCGTTTTCTGAATAGTCCTGTGAATCACTGGATTGCAGCTGCGAGTCATTTGCGTCACTTCGTTCGATTTCTGGTGAGTCATGACCAGCATGGACATATCACATAACGCGAGGTAATAATGCCTCTTTTCCAGTCCATTAACGTGTAAATGTTGTTGCTTCAGTTATACTCTTTTCCGTTAGCGAGTTGACTTGGTGCTTGGTACAAGGGCACCTCAGGGTGTTTTAGATTCAATTCACGTCCCATTACTTCCAATTAGCAAAAAGGTCTATTTACTTCAAATATTTACTGGAAGTCAGTTACCTTTACACTGGTATATTGAGTTGAGATCTGGTTCAAATCCTGAGCGGCATTTGCATTCGTAGCTTCCAACAATGTTATAGCAATAGGTGGAGTATAGCACGCATTGATGGGTATTTCTCGTACATTCGTCGATGTCTATCCGACAAAAACAGGTGGAGAGAGGAAATTAGAGAAAAGAATGCTCTTAAAAATATTAAATCGACGTGAGTTGGTTCAGATGAGAACAGATTGGGAGGATGGGAGAATAATAACATAATTGACTACTGAGTAGAACTGGATTGTATGTATAGCTTTTTAAGAGACCCTTACATCTTAACCATGGTGAGTTACCAATTGCATGAATGTTTGACTCATTGTATAAAACAATATTTGCTGATGAAGACTGTGTGAAACAATCGAAAAAATAAATGCTTTTTTCCTTTTATGGGATTTAATAATAATAATAATAATTTAAACATACAGGTATTTATAAAGGATTGCTGTATCAGTTTTCAGAAAAAAACTGCTATCAATTCAGGTCTTGTAAAAATTTAAAAATAAACAATAGAAAAAAATAAAAATATGGATAAAGATCAAATTACCATAACATAAAATAGTTACACTAAAAGGAAGATTCGAAGAGTTATAAATTCTAAGAATTATTAAAAATGTTTGCATCTTTGTAGAAAAAAAGCGCGCTTGGTCCATTCTAAGCTAACTTTTTCTAGCATAAGGTCATTATTATTTCTAGTTTTTTGGCGGTGAATGTCACGGTTTCTTACATTAAAATAATAAAAAACCTTATCTGGGAACTCTATTTGCTATACACTTCTTAACAAATCTTAAAATGTGTGTCTGTGTTCTATAATGGAGAGGTTCCAAGTCCAGTTTGGTCATAATTTGATCAGTTAATAGTTTTGAGGCAGCTTTGAAATAGACGATCCTCGCAGCTCGTCTTTGTAGTCGTTCAATCTTGTCCCTGTTTCCTTGTCCACATTCATGCCACACAGCATTATAATAGTCTAGAACTCGTAGGACCATGGCTTTATAGAGTCTATTTGCAGCTTCTAGCGTAAGTGAAGGTCTTATTCTAGAGAACTTTCGGAGTATCTTAGATACCTTCATCCTCACAAAGTCCACATGGTCATTGAAGGAAAGGGTGTCATCAAGAACAACACCCAGGTACTTAAAAATCACAAGACAGCTTGAGACAAGAGTTATTACAAGATTATCACACTAAACGTTAGGTCTCGTAGGAATTCTATTTTTGCCTGACCTTTATTGTCTTTACGGCAAGAGAGGATAAAGGGGACAGAGAGGGCATCCCCCATACAAACCCTATTCCATAGGTAATTCGTCTCGTGTTTTTTTTAAGACCACAGATCCCAAGGGGGATTAGACAACAGCCAATCACATAGCGCGAATGTGTTACGCGTGGATGACCCACGCTCAGCTAGCAGAGCCAGAGCCACGCGTCCTTCACGAATTGACGCAGAACAAAATGGCGGAAGACGCGGAAAGCGATATTGCTATTCGTTTTGTCGACGAAAACGACTACAGAGAGATTTCTGCTAAAGCTGTGTCAGCAAAACGGAAATTAAAAAACAATCCCCCTTTCTCTCTTGTATAGAGCTAAACGTACAGCAGGGAAATCCTTAACACACTGAATATTCTCTCAGGATCATTTATAATTTAGGTTTGAAGAGAGCAATTTCTGGTTTGATATTTATTCGTTTATTAGTCTTTTATTATTCAACAAAAATAACACTTGGCGTCCTACTTGCTTTTTTTGTACAAACGACCGGTGTCAATAGACCGGCGAAATTTCTCATTTTATTAAAGCGCTTAGGTTACGACAACTTCGAGTTAAACTGATTTCACGGGTTGTCAAAGAGTCTATAGCGATTCCCTTTTCCCAGGTGAGCGCCGACTCATTTCGCGTCAATATCCAGGAATGCTCTCGATCTCTTTACGCTTTCATTAATAATAATAATAATAATAATAATGATAATAATAATAATAATAATAATAATAATAGTAATGATAATACACTTTATTTAAAGAGGGTAGCACGGAATAGTTACAGAAACTAGTAAACTTGTGGCCCTCTATCTAAATTAAAATTGCAAAAAGCATAAGATTCAAAATATACAAAGTCTAAGAACAAAATAAATAAAACTAAGGAGATATAAAAGTTCTGCATCAATATGAATGAGCATAAGAGCTAATGATATTGCGTTTTGCACGGGGTTTAGTCATGCGAAACCTCCACGAAACATCCAGGCAGCGCGCGAAGTAACTTTATCCCGATTCTAAAAATAACTCGAGACGAATTACCTATGGAATAACCGGGTGTGTATGGGGGATGCCTTCTCTGTCCCGTTTATCCTCTCTTGCTTTATTTACGGTGAATTACCTGATTATAATTAAACACTAGAAATACGTATCTCGCAAACCCTTGCGAAACTCGTTGATGCACCTAAGATAAGCCCTGCCTGTCGCAGTTTTAATTAGAAATTGGTTGGGTAACCAGCCGCGAATATCGTGTGGCGACGACTCCTATATTTATCTTTATTGTCTTCTTTTTGATCGTTGGTTTTATTGTCCAGTTTCCCACAGTTATTTCCCCCCTTCTTTTTCTTGTCCTCAGTGGCCAGTAATAAGAGCACAGATAATGGAGGCAAAATTCTTTGCAAAGAACAGTTTAGGTTGGGGAGAGGCATAAATAAACAAATAAATGAATAAATAAATAAAAGAGTAATTTACCGTTGCACTGATACCGACTATATCTTTCATAGCCAGGCCGACATGGGCAAGAGTAGCTTCCTACCGAGTTTCGGCAAGTGGTAGTTGACTTGTCGCATGCATCTGGATTCTTGCTACATTCGTCAATGTCTGCCCATATATTAAAAACGAAAGGAAATAAATGAGGAATAAATCAAAAGCAGTCAAACCTTTGGCCTCCATGCTGTTACTCTTTCACCCTTATAGACCAAGATTTGGCAAGATATTTCAAACATAATGTCCATGGAGTAAAAATTATTAGTTAAACACATTTGCTGAGTCATTAAAGGCTTGTTTTCTGGCGATGGGTACAAAGTCCGAACTGTAATCAAAAGCGCAGAGTGTTGATCTAGTTAAAACAGGGTATAATTACTCCAATTACGACTCCTTCACTTTCGATCTAGTGAAAACTATAGGTTGTATTGTTGGCGTTGCAAGCAGAAGCTGAAGACCTAAACCAATCACAAAGCATGGGAACAAGCATCGTTACCGGTTTATCCTTCCACAGTACTCCTGCTTAATCTGGTTTTCTGCAGCATAAGCAGAATATGAAGAATAGAAAATTCTGATGACTCCAATTCCATCAAGATTCTAGTATGACTCCCCTTGCGACTATGAATTTTGATTTTCACTAGGTCATAAGTGCTCTTGCGACTCTGATTATGACCCTGACTTTGTCACGATTGAAAACCAGCCTTTAAGGGATTTAGTCGGATTGCACTCAGGTGTCACTCTTGCCCAATTTCCTACATTCCAAAGATTATTAGGTTGGAAGGTGTATGTTACGTATGTTGGAATACACATTTTTATGATACATAGTTAACAGATATACTTCATTATTTTTGGCTAAAAAAAACTACCGTAACTTGCCTATAACTGAATAAATGTTTGAAAACTTTAACGTAAGTTTGATTTCATTATTTGTCAATAATCAAGGGAAGAAAAAAAGACCCATCAACTACTGAAATGGCCCAATGTGGAGCTGAATCGGCTACTTTTTGAGGGGTAGTTTGCAAGACGATCGAAATTTGCCACTTAAAAATCCAAAGTCACTAGTGTTTTCCATATCGACCCTTTACATGGTCTAATTTGGCCCCGATGTAAGGGTCAATTTAGCCCCCAAAACTGGTACCAAAACAGCTCCATTTCAGTAAGGTTGAATTGGCCCCTAAAGCAGTACCATTCTGGACTCACCCGTTTTGGCCCCATTTTTTCGGACCAAATTAGCTCTTTTCATTTTTCAGTGTAATAGGTAGCTACTTTGAACCTTAACTGCTAATACAAAGCGATCTAGGTTTGCACTAGAATAAAGGTTGAAAGCAAGGTACATTTATAGGTATGACAAAACCACAGAAACTGCATGAATATACAAAAATAGTGAAAGGTCCTTTGCTGCACGGTGCATTCGTAAATTATTAGAACACAAGAATCACGCCAAACATTAAAGCAGGGACTGGATTTGCACTGTCGTGTAATTTTTACTTACGTACGCAAGTAAATTTTACGCGCCTAAAAATAGAACAGGCAATGTAAAGAAGTAGTCTTCAAAATAAGCCCGGGCGATTAAGACGATCACATGGGAACACTGATGCGATTGTGGGCGATACGGAATATCGAGGCGATCGCGGAAGCCCTTGATAGACAGGGAGATAGATTATTAATGTTGGGGGATTTCAAAATTATTGTCGGGATATCGATCGTTTTGATCCTCACAATCATACCTGCAAAAGTCGAGGCAATCGAGAAGATACCCTGGTTAGTTTGTATGAAGACAATGATTTAGGACTATTATATCATAATTTTACCTTGGCAAGTTAAGCCATCAGGTTTTAACAGGAATCCACTGTTACAGTAACACTTATAGCTTCCATCAGTGTTTGTACACATGTGCTGACATCCACTGTTAGCTAGCATGCATTCATCTTTATCTTTTGAAATAAAATTAACATGATTTTTAGTTTATTTCAACAAAGCACTATTACATGAAAGTACAGACATACATATACAGCTTTTTTATTTGAGTCATTTGTGTTAAATAAACGAGTGAGGCCTAGGCCAACAGAAGAAGGAGCATTAACTAAGTAAAATTCCATTATTTACCTTAAATTTTGTAGCCGCAACGAAGTCGTCAGTGTAGAACTTTTCATGAGACGAACCAAACTCTAATTTGGGTCGACCTAAATTAAATTAAGATCGTCTGTTGGGTCAGACATCGAACTTAGCACGCGTCGAACCAATCAACTGAATCAGACCAACAAGCATATTTTTGATCAGCACTGAATGTTTTCACAAACGAGGCTAAATATACATTATCATAGTCATTTTTAACTTATTAGTTTAGTTTGTGCATGTGAAGATCGATGTATATTCCAGACGTTCTACAGACGTTCTATCCCTCTGACGAAGACGGATAAGACGTGTTGGACGATCCAAACTCCTTCAGACGAACTTTACTGAGCCAGACATCTAACATTTCATAACTTAACTTCCCAAGTTTGGCTCGTCTCACGAAAAGTGCGACCTTTGGCCTAGAATATTATATTCCAGAATATCGGACTTAAACAGCTTTGTCCTAATCAAATTTTTATGTACTTATCATTATCGAAAAATATTATCTATTTTTGTAAGCCTTATGCACAACTTCTATAGTTATTTTCGACATTTGATCTTGCTAAGTTTCATGAATTTCTTCTTAGGCCTAAAAACACTCATAGAAAATTTAACTAGTTGAAAGGCTCCTTCACCTTTGGCCACTAGGTGATGATATTATTGACCCTGCAAAAGCTGCGGGGTTGCCAGATGAATCCCAACTTTTTTTCAATCAACCCCGCGATGGTTGTCCCGCACAATCTCACTCCAGTGTACATTAAGGGTGCGACGAAGCAAAAGTGTGAAATACAAAGAAATCTTACCAACACAGTTCTTTCTCCTTGAATCAAGTTCATAGCCAGTCGGACAAGAGCAGATGTAAGTGCCATCCAGGTTAATGCATTTGTGGCTACACCCACCGTTATTAATCAAGCATTCGTTGATATCTGGAGAAAAATTATGAATGTATATAAGATTTGAATGTGGAAAAGTACAAGCAAAATACATTGAACATTAGACAGTTACTAGGGATCTTTAGGTTCGAGTGAGACGACCTCGAGGATGAAATTAAACTTCTATCAATTTCTTTAGCGTATTCTCAAAAAATATACACCCCGGAAAAAAGCTTCATTTTACTTTCTTTTGTTTTTGTTTTTGTTTTGTTTTTTTCACCAGAAGACTTTGCATGGTTAATTTCATTGAAAAACTGGCTAAGCTCTCTCCTGGTCAATCGCAAAATGATAAAACTTCTCACCGTTGGTAACATATTTCCGCCACTGCGACATTCGCGCTGAAACCCGTAATACAATGACGACGGCTACCACTTTTTGGAGCTAAAATGACGCTGGTTCATGCGCGCGCACAACTTCGTATTGGGAAATCTCGTTCTCGTACTCGTTCTCGTTTTGGAAACTAAAGGTCTGTCTTTACGCACTAAAGAGACAGCTTTCATTAAAATAGCTCTACTGCTATTCCTCACTACACCGCCGCGGATGACAAGTAACGAGGAAGAATTGTAAGGAACATAAAAACTACCGATTTCCGAAAGGTGTTCTTTGGTAATAATGACCGATAGGTCACTGAATGAAGAGAACTGAAACATGAGTCTCACGTAAAGTAGCACTGTTACGTGGCGTCCTCCCGCTTGCCAACATAGGAAAGGTAGCTCTAATCCGTCTTCCTTGTCACTTAAAAAATATGACCAGTTTCCCCCCACTATACTAAGATTTAAACGAATTCCCTCCAATTGTACTGTAACGTTTTTCGACGGCTGCGTCTGAAACGGTACCACGAAACTACGACTATTTTAAAACAGTCCAACTACCCTGGCTAGTTTGTATGAGGACCATGACTTGAAACTATCATAATTTTACCTTGGCAAGTTAAGCCATCAGGTTTTAACTGGTATCCACTGTAACAGGAACACTTATAGCTTCCATCAGTGTTTGTACACGTGTGCTGACATCCACCGTTAGCTAGCGTGCATTCATCTTTATCTTTTGAAATAAAATTAAAGTGATTTTTAGTTATTTTCAACAAAGCACTATTAGATAAAGGTACACACATACATATACAGCTGTTTTATTTGAGTCGTTTGTGTTAAATAAACGAGTGAGGCCTAGGCCAACAGAAGAAGTAGCATTAACTAAGTAGAATTCCCCATTAGTTACCTTAAATTTTCTAACCACAACGGAGTCGTAAGTGTAGAACGTTTCATGAGACGAATCAAACTGTAATTTGGGTCGACCTAAATTAAATTAAGATCGTCTGTTGCGTCAGACATCGAACTTAGCACGCGTCGAACCAATCAACTGAATCAGACCAAAAAGTAAATTTATGATCAGCACTAAATGTTTTTCATGAACGGGCTAAATATACATTATCATACTAATTTTTAATTTTTTAGTTTATAAGTTTGCACATGTGAAGATCGATGTATATCCCAAACGTTCTATAGACGTTCTATCTGTCTGAAGACTGCATTTAAACAATTGCCTGCTCGAGTGCTACCTTATGACGAAAAAGCACCAGGGGCGGATCTAGGGGGAGGGTGCAGGGGGTGCGCACCCCCCCCCCCCCCCCCCGAGGACCCGCGGGTTTTTTAATAAAA